CCATTGAATTTCACATAGCCTTGCTCATCCAGGCACCAGTGGACTGCAGTTTCGACCTCGCATCGGTCTTGTCAACACCTTCAGCGGGAGTCGAACCGCGACAGTGCAAGATGGGAGCTTGACACGAAAACCACTCGGCTACGCTGCCAAGAGTACCCTTGAGTCACAGGGCATAAGTGAATTTCAAGGAAGGTCAAGTAGGAAGTAGGTCGAAACTCTATTCTGATACGAAAATATCAATCTTAGCCGGTTTCCCCATCATCTTATATCAGCTACTCTCCCGCTATACTCGATTCTTCAATCTTCTCCTCTTTTTTTCCATTTAATTGTGTGTTAACACTGTGGTTCTCCTGTCGGTTAGTTTATTTTTCCCTATTACTTGATTAGATATATCAAATTATTTATTTCTAGTAAACCTCTTCCACTTTCTCCTTCTGAACTTTCAGCCGCGTCCGGCCATGTCTGCCATAGTGAATGTCTGTTTGAGACCGGTTGCTCAGGCCCTGGGGCCTCGCAATGCCTTTTTTGCTGTGGCCTGCAAGCCGGCGAGGATTGTGTGACCTCTTGTACCGATGTCCCTGGCTACTACGACACGCGAGCTTTCGACATGGACGGCCGTCCCATTGCGCTACCGAGACCGTCCGAGTCCTCGTCATCCTCTGACCCTTCCGTGGTGGGCCCCGGTGGCGGAGCCCTCGTCGTCGGCCACTTGGCCTCTTGGCTACAGGGCCGCCGGTGCCCCAGCCTCCCCCTGACGCCAGACCAGGTGGCCCGTCTCAGCTGGACGCAGTTGGTGCACAGCGTCCGGCCGCTGCCTGTCTGCGGCCGATGCCACATCGAGTGTGAGGAGACCTGCAGCGGTACAGGGGCGCACCAGTGCATCGGTGCTTGTCGACACCTGCGGGTCAGTTTGCCACCCGAAGACCAGACCCATCTTCATCGGCTCAGCGGTATCATGTCCTTACAAGCCACTCTATCCGGGCCGAATTTGAGACAGGTTCATTGGGATTGAGCTGATTGAGCAGTCGATCTGAATTATTCGAATACTTGCTCTCGAGAGCGGAAGAGGTCCACTTTGACTGTATCCCTTCAGTTTTGTAAACTTCTGCACTCTCAACTTTATTCCAGGCATGCCACCTTTCACGTTACTCACTAGGGTATCAGCTTAGTGTATCTTTTCAACGTTTATCCATGATCGGCCACACACAAGGGTCAGGGAAAGCAAGAAATCGCACGAAATCGTACGAATAAAAGTTGGGTTTCGAGGAATCTCTTGCTTCATAATTGTTGAGCTTACTTCCATTTCGAGTGGAAGTGTTGGATGAAGAGATTCGAAGGTCAGCTCCACCAGAAGAGAAATCCGCCGTCCGGTGGAACCGAACTTCGAATCTCTTCATCCAACACTTCCACTCAAAATGAAAGTAAGCTCAACAATCGCACCTTAGGCTGGATGGCTATTCTATTCTTGCCAGGCACTACGCCAATACGTTAATATGTGATTTATTGTGTGGAAAAATTGCAATCTAATAGAATACTTTTCTTTTCCATTCCCATTTTTTCAGAAATTTGTATGCCTCTAAGTCGCTAGAGCCAGACACACATATCGTCTGCAATTTTTTATATAGAAATACTGGGTTTCGAAGAATCCCTTAATATATTCATTTCGTTTGAAGAGGCGAGTGGAAGGGACTCGTAAGCTAGTTTCACCGAAGTCTGTAGGGGGTCACCTTGGAGATATGGTTGTAAATTTGTGCGAATAGGTCCTCGGCGCACCGTCCTGCGACCCCGATCAATCCTTTTTGAGCTTTCGTCCGTCATGTGACGGACATCGTCAGAGCAGAAACACGGCGCTTGACGATAATTCACCAAAAGCACGAATACAAAAAAAGTGGCCGGCTTGGAACCCAATTCCTTCTTATATTCCAATTTGTTTCATGTTTTGGTTGGATGTCCTATGCTTTACCTCCATATTCGCTCATAAGTTAAATTAAGTGGCTATAGATGAAGCGTGAAGATATAATAACACTGTCCTCGATATTGCCTCCTTTTTGATAATACTCTGACCCGCTCTCAAGATCGGGCTGTTGCAAGATTTTGTGTCGATGCGGTCGTGCCTATGTGGGAGAGATCTG